TGTTTGCTTTCCTCTAGTAGTTCTTGAAGGTGTGATTTGCAATGCGGCAAAGAGAATTCTACCCTGCGAGAGGCCCCTTGGGAAAGTAGGGTTTGCTGTTATTTCTGTGAGTAGCCTTTTTCAAAAGCATGGATTTTCAGGCCTGGTTTCTCTTGACCTGGGAAGGGAGAGTGGGGGGAGAAGAGAAGTCATGCAGAACACATGTTCTGCGGCATCAGCAACAGATGAGGGAGGATTTGATTTTCGCTTCAGGGAAGCAGAGTCAGAACTAAGCTGCCATCACGTTGCACACTGGTTGAATGAAAAGTGTTGGATTGGGGCACCTACCAGAGCCAAGTTGTACTGCAATCTGACCGTGCTTCTGGATATTAAATATCATTTTATGATGGTGATTTAATAAGTATGTGTATTGGCACTGATGCCCTACGTGTTTCATATACTATCACTGAGGCCAGACCCAAAGTTGTTTAAATCAGCTGAGAAGTTCTCATGGATTCCAGATGGTTTTAGATGACAGACTCCATGCTTAATTAATGCATTCGGAGGTTGGGAACTTTCTAAAAGAGTTCAAATATTTTATTTTTAGTTTATTTATTTTAGTCTTTTCCACATTTTTAATCTACATAATTGACATTATGCAATCAGAATAAAATCTTCTGGAAGTAAGGTTCCACAGATGGCAGAGTGCCTGATTTTCCATGGTAATAATAATACTGAAAAGGGAATGCTTCTCTTCAAATTCCTTTCACCTCCCGCCTTAAATTTTGCAATAGTCTCTGTTGTCGTAAAACTGTGCTCTGAATATCTCCCTAATGCTTTGGACATGTATTCAGGATAGGAAAATGTAACAAATTGCTTTACCATCCAATCCTTTAATAAATGTATGACATCTGGGTCTCTTCCTCCCGTTGGTTTCTTTCCGCAGCTTATTCCCCTGCCGACTGTAGGGAGAAAGAAGATGCATTGTATCAAAATCAGCTGGTACTTTTTCAGTACTAAGAGCTGAAACAGCACCAGCATTGATACTGTCCTAAATTCAAGAAAAAAATAGATTGTTGAGATCATAATACAGAGCAAATAGAGAATATTGAAATATGCCTATCTAAAGGAAGAGAGTGAAAGCAGATCAGTTTAAAGAGAGGTAATAACACTTGTACCTTCTCTACTTAGTGCAAGATCTAAAAGCCCTCATTCCCTTCGTGCTGCTTTAGACCATTCTGTTATTTGATAATAGTTACAGCTTTTTATCCTACAATCAGCCAAGGGCAGCCGTTGTGCACCGAACATGTAAAAGGAAGATTGATAGCAGGGCTATTGTTTCTCACTATGTGGGAGACTTATATAGCAACCAGCTGTGAAACAATGTTGGGTAGTTCTGATTAAAATGGTGTCTGTGCTGTCTGGGTGGTGGGAACGGGCTGATCTGGCTTAGTCCTGACTGCTGCTCATGCTTGGTGAGTTTCCAGGGACCTTCCCATGACATGTGCACTTGCAGAAGGAGGCTCAGCTCAGATGGTCTGCAGGAGGTTTGTGGAAGGACTGGAAAGTGCAAGGGAGCACTACTCTTCCCTGCTTGGTCTAATGCTCATCTCTTTTCCCCATAAAAATGTTAAGGTAAAATGTTTTGTATCTCTTCTACATAGATCTGTGCCAAAATCCACTGAATCCATTTAGGGGGACATTCACCAACTTGTGCTTTCTGAAGGGGTCCAGCATGGGAGCCCCTCTGCCTGAGTGCTGACCTACCAGTCAAGCGGTTCTCCTGGGCCATGCACTTGGCTTTGGGGTCTGTAATGTTACTCCTTCTGCCCCTGTCTTTGGGTGACTGGAAGTCCCAAAGCTAATTTCAGTTTTCTTTTATGAAGAAGAAAGAAAAAAGAGGAACAGCACCTAATCCTTTTCTTTATGGAGAGAGAACTCATGCAGTAGATTTGAAAAAGATTGGCACTCCTTTTTCACTGAGCTCCAGTGACATTTCACAATCCCCACTGAGAACTGTCCACAGGAGAACAAGCATAATGGTGATGCTCATCCAAACGATCAAGGAATGTCATACGCTATGTCTGCTCATCACAAACAGATTAGCTTTAATTTCCTAGTCTGGATGACAGCACAGGCTATCCAACACCATCTTTGGGTTGCTAATCCTCAAAGAATTTATTTATTTATTTTTCAATGTTATTGCCATGGAACATGGCTAAATTGCAGGTCCAGATTACATCTTCACTGTTCACTCACTTTCATTTTGATCTGCAGACATTCATCAGGTGCCAGGAAGAGGCAAAGGACAAATGAATGTTGTTCCTTGAAACATCTAGTCACTCCCTGTGCTCTCCAGCCTCTGCTATGTGAGTGTAGCCACTCGCGTTCTGTGTCTCCTAGAGCAAGAGACTTGAAACCTGAAGATCTGCTACCTGCAGCCTCATTTTCTGCGATAACATTGCTCAGCCAAGTTTGAGAGGACAACACAGCAGATGATTGCTTCCTTATCTATTTTTCAAGCCTTTGCAAGTGGTAACACAGTGATGCAGAGCGAACAATTACCATTTGGAGCACAAATATAGGAAATGTTTTGCAGATGCACTAAAACTGTTGAAAACAGGTGTAATCAGGAGTCAAGGAGAATTGCTATTAAAAGTACATGTCAATGTCAAGAACGGTGAAGTCGCTATGTTCAGAATCCAGATAATGAAGTACTTAAGGGAAGAACATCTCCGCTACATGTGTGGTCTGCATGTAACAAATGATGGCCTGAACCATAGGTGTTGCTATTCTCATATTTTGGGGATTTGAGTGCTGTTCTGAGTGTGTGAGATCTCTAAATTTATTTTGTTTAGGCATTCAGCTGAGTACGAGGTAAATGTGCCCTCTCTTGTAACTTGGTCTGGATTCTTAGAGGTGGAGTGTAGAAGCTATATCTCTTTAGAGACCTGTTGCAAGCTCTTGTTTTAATCAGATGATAATGGAGTTCTTTCTGATAGAATAGTCTTTATCCCTTGGGGAATTTTGTAGGTTTGAAAGTGGATGGGGGGGAGGGGAACTGAAATGAGTTATGTATGTTTTCTTTTAAGTGTTTGGAAAACCTGGATATGCATGTTTAAGTAGCCCCTAGGCAGCTGTAAGATTAGAAACTGGCATTTACATGGCATGTCCTAATATATGCTATTGACCTTGGTGACATTACAGGAGTCATTTTCACACAGATAGCATTTTTAATGGAGTATCTGTAATGCATTAGTCACTGATGCCTTTGCCTTGCATCAGGCATTCAGATCCTTATGTCCACTTTCCTTTCCACTGTATTTGAGCTACAGTCAAGTTACAAGGAAAAAATCTGTTCTTTATTACTGTATTGTTTTGTCTCTGACCCTTTTGTAATACAGTTTCATTTTGGAGAAGTCTTTCTCTATCACTGTAAAGTCTTTCATGCCAATACACATCACTATGGATCATAAGGAGTTGAGGGGAATAAATGCCCTTATGTTGCATGGGAAAGCACCTTCGCATTACAATTCTTCATTCTTTTTGTACATACAGGGTGTTGAGGTTGATTCTCTTTCACTCTGACACGACAGAGTGCAGCACATGCCCTTGTCCGTCTCTCCAGAGAGTGAGTTAACATTGGTAATAGAATGGGTGAGTTTACTAAGTGCAGGAGGTAGCATAATTATATGGCTTTAAGAGATCTATTTCTAACCTAATTCAATAACTTGTTAGTTTATGTGAGTGACTCATTGGCAGAGGTTACTATTGTTGCAGAAAGGCTTGTGTAAATTGAGCGTGGCTGGTTATATAGCTGGTTTTGGCTGAACCTGGTAATATTATGTTCTCTGTATCCTCAAAATTTGTATTCAGGAGAAATGAGGGGAGTTTTTAATTTTCAGGACTATCATTATCCAGTGTGTCTGCATGACTTGCTTGCTTTAGTGAAGGAGTGCTTTGCTTTGCTTTAGCCTCTGCTAGGGAGAGCAATGCATAATCTAGTGTTCATACTACAGGAAAAGCTGCTCAGGAGCCAAACACGTATTCCTGATTCTGTCATGGTTTCTGGCAGTTTTCTTGCATATGAGATGTGGCTTCCTGAGGGAGGAAAAATAAAGTAAAATCAAGAGCCAGGGAATGAGTGGGCACTTTTGAAAATGTTGGCCTCAATATGTCAATTTTTGTATTTCTAAATTGGGGTATTATAAGTATTTCACAGGACTGCAGAAAAGCTCTGTGAGTGTTTGCAAAGTCTTTTAGAGATGGTAGCATGGCAAGTTGCACTGCAATGCAAGGAACAATGTCTTCACTTCAGGCCATAGCCTGGAGCATTCGTACATTTGGTGACAGTCCCATATGACAGCAGTCCATTAGGAGACTGTCATAGATCTGATTTCCCCAGATGTATCCTTCCCCTCTTTCCCAGAAATTTTATCTAGAGGAAAAGAAGAACAACTTGTTTATTTGTCCCAGATGCCCCCAGGATACGCCAGAGCTGGTGTCAGTGTGCCATTTGTTGGCGTACGCACTATGTGATGTTCGTGCCCAGAGCACTGTTTTACAGGATGGCTTACTGTCAGTCTCAGGAGTGTGCGAAGGGCTAGATTCTTCAGTGGAGTTCATGGCTAGTGCTCAGTCCACCTTATCATAAAAACGTGATTACAATAAATTGTGCCTGCAGATTTTACAGATTATTGTGAATGCATCAACCATAGTTAAAGAGTTAGAAATCTTTCAGAAAAAGAAAAAAAAAGTTTCATTAACCAATACCTGAAAGGAAACCCAGCTTCTTCCCTTTGTTTACCAATAATATGTAATTTTAATAAGTTGCCTGCCTCGTCACAGTTTAACATACAAACCTTGTTTGACATACTGTGGCTGTCCCTTGCACTTGGAGGTTGAATGTACTACATAGAGCATGTAACTAATGAGATGGGTTTTTGTTCATCCTTTCAGTTAATTCTGTGTGTTCTTCTTCCCCCCCACCCTTTGTGCTGCACGGCTGATTACTGCCCTAGGACCTTGCAATGGGACACAGACCCCTCAGTGCTGCAGCTCCAGTCTGACTCTGAACTTGGGTATATGTCAGCTCTTTTTGTTATTTGTTTATCATTCTTTGCAAGAATTGTGTTGAAAATGCTTCCCAGTTGAGCTGGTTTTACGTGATTTTCATTTGCTTTGTTGACTCAAAAAAGACCATAATTTAAGTTCCCTTTTTTTAGTTTCATCAATAAGAAGCTTCAGCAAAGCCATCTTTGTGGAAAAAAACAACTATTTAAAGAAGCTCGTGAAAAGATAAGCTGCTGTTTCTGTTGCCTGAAGCACAATACAAATAACTATTTCATTACAGATGAAAAGTTATTATTGTGGCACTTTAATGTGCATGTACAGTTACATTGGTCTTGTTTGTACCTGTTGATTCAGACTTTTCATTCTGAATCATTTGCAAGGTACTTTTTCCCCTCCTTCCTGCCTTTGCCATAGTTATGCTGTTTCCACATGCAGTAGCAATTTCCCCTTTTTCTTTAGGAGCTGTATATGTGCTTATAATTGTGCATTTAAATATGATCATAGTCCAAGAGTAATTGCCATCTTAGTTGAGTTCAGGCCAGTCAAGCTTTTTTTAAATTGTACTAGAGCTAAAATTAGTATTTTCTAGTTTGGGATGGAACTTCTCTACCCAAAGCATCTGAAAAAATTAGTTAATTTAAATAATTTAGAAATGCCTACCTGCAGAGATACTTAGGATAAACTGTTTCTCTAAAAAGGGTAAGTAGCTGTCCCTCAAGTTCTTCAGAACTTGAGTCATAGGAAAACCAAATCTCTATGTTGAAGACATTGTTCTACCTATGAACTTATGGCCTTGCCTGTCTGAGCCTCCAGGCAAGTGTCTTATGCTTTTACTAGTTGTCCTGGTTTCGGCTGGGATAGAGTTAATTTTCTTCCTAGTAGCTGGTATAAAAAAATTAACTCTATCTCAAAGAGTACATCTACAGGTATACTCCGTAACAGAAAAATCCTGCCCCTTTTGAAAGAAAACTGTCTTCAAAACCGAGGCAGAGTTAGAGGGGGAACCAGACTTTCCTCTGGTGTCATGAGACTAGATTTAAAAAATACCAACGCAAAAGAAATCCTGCAGTCAGCATGCAAATGTGTGTAGTTAAACACTTCTAGCAGATAGATCTTTCTTCTGGCTCCTACAGACAGGAATCAATTTTAATGCATGGACTTTAGTTACTGTCCTCCTACTGACATCCCATAGGCAGTTTTGAAAGGAATCCTTCAAAGCTTATGCGCTCTCTAAGATGAATAGTCAGCAAACTGTAAATGATAAGAATTATGAGCACCTCAGATGAAAAATGGGGATGGGAAAGCAATAGACAGTTTAGTGCTGCCCTAAAAAGAACTGGAGGCTAGAACTTTACAGTCCATATTTGGTAGAGTCCAGATACTGAAAGGATGCTCCAGTTGTCCCTAAGTGCTTGGGACCAAGGGCTAGGCCAACTTCTAGTTATGCAAGAACCATTACAGATAGCTGAACAGGGGCAAAAAAGAACTAAGAGGCCACATTCCTTCAGATGGAGAGACCTCTCTGTCTTCACCAGTAATTACCAGGATATGGGCAACACTAGACATTTGTACAGGCATCAGCAATTCCCAAACTAGAAATGTTTTAGGTGAAAAATTCCACACATTCTGTCAACACAGTGCTCTGGGATGTAGCTCACTTCTTGGTTAGCAGTCTACAAAGAGGCTAACCCAACTAGCGGTTAAATCCAGCTCTCCATTAGGACCAGTGTTCCCCATCCTCAGGCAGTTGAGGAGATGTGGAGTGACCTCATGTGAAACTGTTGTTAGAATTAGGTGAGATTCTAATTAGGCCCAGATTAGACACATAATTAATTAGAGATTATACTTAACCAAGACCACAGTCAAGAAGCATTTTCAACGCAGAAGGCTTAACAATCTCAGTAAATGGAACCAGTAGCCTGGGGCAGCAGAGGACTGGTTACATAGGAAAGTCTAACTGACCAAGTTGGCAACAGAGGTTTCACATCTGGTGCTGAAGGAGGGAAAAGCACATGAGATTTTGCTGGGGGGGGTAGGGTATTTATTAAAGCTTGAATTCACACAAACCCTCAGTTAAAGCAGCTACAAAAATGTAATGCTACTAAAACTTTTGTTAGCTGAAGTATATCACAAGCTGTAGAAGTTTTTCTGCCCCCACGTAGGATTTTCAGACAATCGTAGCTTTTGTTCATATTGGCAGTCACAGATGGTTGTATGGAGGGAGACTTGTTAATTTTTCCTCTTTGAAAAGAAGAAAGACTCAGAGCTGTAACAACTATTTCTGCTCCAGTGGTTTGTTACATGATACAGCTGATTCATACTTATTACCTGCTGAATCTAATTGCGTTCAGCTTAATAACAACTCAGCCAGTAAGATAGATTAGAAAAATATATAGCTGATGTAGCATTAACCAGCTGAAGAGTTCAGTAGGTGTCATCCAATGATGACAATTTCCTTTTGAGACTCTCATTTCCATTCAGATCAGTCTTAATTGAATACCTAAATCACTGTAAATGAATTAGATTAAAAAACCTTTGACCTCTGTTCTTCTGACAATCTGGAAAACAGAGAGGATGTGGCTAATGTGTATGAATTTTCTGCTTTTCCAAATTGCTCTGTCTAATGACATAGCAGTTCAGAAACATCATGTCCATGAATTTATTTCCCATAAACATATAAGTGTGCTTGCACTTGTTGATCTAGGCAACTGGACTTATTTAGTTGATTTATGATATGCATATTCTTTTCTTTGCTGAAATTTGGCATTTTTTCCACTAAAACATTTGCAAGTAAACATTTGTTGTTTATGATATGCATATTCTTTGCTTTGCTGAAAGTTGGCATTTTTTGCACTAAAACATTTGCAAGTAAACATTTGTTTATTTTTCCCTCCCTACAGACAGTCAAATAATATTCAGGAAATAAATGGATTTTTTCCCCCCCCACTGTTGAGTGAACTGTGTATGACTAAAAGTCTTCATGATCACGTTCAGCTGTCTCTCTTCTTTTTCCCCTTACAGTTAGTTGGCTTTACTGATTTATTTCATATCGTTTATTTAAAGTTAGGGAAGTAGTAGAAAAAGAAGGCTATATTTACCCTGTTCCAGCTGTGTCTTGGAGCTCCCCTTACAACCCTTGCATTAGGGCTCTACTAATCATAAACCTACATCAGTTCCACTACTAATGACTCCTGTGGAAGGGAGAATCTCCTTCTTTATGGAAATTACCCACCTTGTCAATTAAAGGGTCTATTATTGGTCTCAGGTGATCATCTGACAATCCTAATCCAGCCTGGTTTACACCCACTGTGCCCTTTCCACTTTTGTGTATCTCAGGCTGAGGATTAACTCTTTTGAGCAGGCAGAACATTGTAATAATGATGGTATGAAAGAGAATTTTGCTGCATGTTACAAGGGGCACAGCCAGGTCATTTCTCTCTCCCATTTACAGTCCCTCTCAGCAGCATGATCTAGAGGTTGAGTAACTGTACTTTATTATGGCAAATGGTTCCCAGGTTAATTTTCTTCACTGCAATTAAGTACTTCTCATGCGTAGTGTATTGTGTTTCAACTTAGCAAACACTGAAGTATTTTTTTTATCCTGTTCGTAAAAGTAAACACTCTTGTTCTTGCTGCTGATTTACATTTAACATGACTAACCTTTTGATGTCATGTATTCCATCTTAGACGCAGACTGCACAAACTAGGGGTGTCAAAGATTACCCAGGTTGATTTCTTACCTCGGGAGGTGGTATCGTACTCCAAGGAGACACAGACACCTCTTGCCACACATCAATCTGAAGGTAAGTTTTTTTTTTTTTCCCAAAAACATTGTCATAGAAAGTAAGTAAGAGTTAAAGAATGTAAGAAAAATAATAGTAAATCATAATACAGCTACATAGCACATATTTTCTGCAAGCCAGGTATTGTTTATGTGATGAATGGCTGTTCTGGTGAGAATAATTATAATAATGACTTTAAATTCAGCTGGAACCAGACTGCTTCTGCCTTACAATGGGTTGTGCTTAGATAACAGTATAATGAGAACATATTTTCAAATAAATCATTATGAATATAATTAAAATAGTGCTTTATTCCATTTTTCTTGCTTTCTCAAGGAAGTTATTCATTCCGTGCTTTGTAAAAAGGCCGTGATGGAAAGTTGCCCTCAGATATTTGGTCAGTGTAATTGTGTCCCCCTCCAGTAGGTGAATCTTAGGAGAAGTTACAGTTTAGCTCCATGTGCTGAAAAAGGAGGCTTACATACTTTGATGTGGACAGTCCTGCTTTCTCTCTGCTGACAGATATATTATCTGTACTCATGGAACTGTTAGCTGTTTGGCTTTCCTGTTGGTAAGTAAATACATGGAGTAGTTAGTAGGGGAGTGCTGATCTATCTGTTCCTTAGACTACGCACTCGCCAGTGTTGTACTGCAGATCACTGATTGCAGCTCAGTTGAAACCATTTAAACTGAGTGTAAAACTATACATTAGCCTGATGTAATTTACACACTATTACAAAGCAGGTAGAAGAAGAAAAACTGAAGACAGTCTTGACTCTAATTTCTGCTGTTAACAAGGAAGGAGCAAGAAAAGTTCAACAATTGGGTGCTTTTCTGCAGCAGATAGTATAGAACTTCACCAAGCTCCGTACAGAAGAAGATTCAAGTAGGTTGCAAAAGGTGTGCAAGTAAATCTGTCTAAATATAAGTTACTGTCAGGGAAGATAGTGATAAACATCATCAGCTTTTTTTCTGCAACTGGGTTACCAGGTCTGCCTTTAAGAAACCAGAAATGAAAACTGCTGAGCTAGATACTCAGATTATACTTTCCCAGACCACAAGTCTACCCTAGTCATCTGTTGTCTGAAAGCGTGTCTTCAAGCATAGACGACCCTGTAGCTTGGATGCTGCTTCTTGAGCAGCATGTCCTGACAGCTTTGCCTTCTCAGAGGGAGAGGCTGCCTCAGAAGCCTTCCTAGTTCAATCCAGCTCATCTCTGCTCGTCTCTCTGAGGGCTGCTGAAGCATCGAGAAGATGGGGCCTTGCCTTCCTGGCTTGAGACCAGTAGGGGCTCAACCCTGGGGCATTATGATGGAGTCATTGTTAGATAAGAGGGAGAGGATGCCTTTCCTCCCTGACACAGGGCGTTTATCCAGTGCAAGAGCCTATGGATACAGGGGGGTTGAAGACATTGCTTTGATGTGTTTACCTCTCTCAGGCCTTCAACTCCAGCACTCATTAGCTGACATGCCTTTCTGAACAGGCCAACCTCTCTTGAGGAAGTACCTTCTTCCAGTAAGTTCTTCTTGCTTTTCTCCAAGGAGCTCTTCAAGTATTACCCAAGTATTTCTTGGGTAGACAAGAGGACAACCTCCTACCCTTTCAAGGTAAAAAAACCCAAACCAACAGTGTGCTGCTGTGGAGCCTGGCAGTCAGGACAGCAAGGACAGAGGGCAACGTGGCTTTTCTTGGTTCTCCCAACAGAGGAAGCTCTTGTTCCTCACTTGTATGAAAGAAGATAAATGCAAACATAAAAAGTGATGGACTTTAAACTGCCTAGGCCAAACCTGTGATGGGAAAGGTCAAATGGTGATAAGTGGTTTTGGTAACTGGATTTATTATCTTTCATATTCTCTTGTGTCATGAGTCAAGGAAAAAACATCAACAAAAGTGAAATTTTAGTATTTAAACACAGAGAAAATATCACCCGATCACTTCCCTCAGATGTGCGGGGGAGAGAAAGTTTAACTTGTATTTCCTTTCCAATCTGCTGCTAGAGAATTCTCTGCACATAACTTGGACGTGAATGTGGCCCTGCATCAGTAAAGGAGAGTCAGGAAAGTTTGGTTATTCCATTGAAATGGTATTTCATTGGAAACTCTCTAGGGGGTAAATAAGCTCTGTGATTTTGGTCTCCCAGGTCTGATGGAAATGACTTCTCAGATTTTCAATCTCCCAAGCCTCTTTATGTATGCTGCGCCCTTCATACTGTCACTCTAAACACGAACAGCAAACAGAGGGGAATTCCTCGGGAGCGCAGTTTGGAGGAGAAGTCTCTACACTGTTCCTATGCATTCATGTGATAAAATATAGCCATTATCGTTTCAAGATAAATTGTTCAGCCATTACTATGGTTATGTGCTCAGTTATTCAGTACCTGAAGCCTTAGAGTTTGAGAAAAGAAAAAAAGAAACCCCTTATTTACTTAGATGAATCTGACTTCAGCTTTCAGAATTCACTCTTTCGCTGCCTGCCTTGGACACTGGAAATGTCAAAATGTGGAATTTTAGGATGAGATTGTCACACGCTTGCTTCTGGTTTGGAAGACAACTAATGAAGGGTACAGCTGGATGGAAAGATCTTTCCTGTGCTATTAAGCCACCGAAAGAGGACTTTGAGTCCGTTCAAAGTTCTGCAGCTTTTTTGAAATGTCAGAATCAGGTTTTCTGCACGTTGCTTCTCTAGAAAGAAAGAAAGAAACTCTGAGGTACCTTAGACCTACTGCTGTTCTGGAGCTCAGTGGGTGTAGGCCTTTGTGGTAATGGCTATTCCCCACCAAACCTTGTAAAACTGATAAAGGAAAGCTTCATTGTGGTAAGTACAGTGTGGTGCCAGAAAGCCAGATGCTATGAGCACTGAAGTCTCAGCTTGTCAGCTGCTAATTTTAGAAGAAATAATGTGGCATTATTCTTCAGTGTATAAAAACAGATTAACTCCTCTTTTCAGACGAGGTAATTTGCTTTATTTCAGAGGAAAAATGACATGTCATTTCCCCCACCCACTCTATTATTTAGGGAGATGTGTATATGCATCATTCAACCCTTTGATCACAAGTACCTAATTCTTTTGTTTTATTTAGGTCACAGTAAGCTTCAGCCTTTTCTTTTCTTCCTTGTAGGATGACTTCAAAAACACCCAGATCTTGGCTCTGGAGCCTGAGAAAAAAAGTGCTCTTTACTTTTCCCCTCCACATTCTATAATTGGACTTGAATTTAGGTATTCGTAGGCATTGAGAGCCATTTCACTTGTGCTGCTTTTTCCATTCTGGAGTTGATTAAGACCTAGACTATGCCAGATGTTTTCTGAGAAGTCTCTGGGACACATTCCTTCACTGTACAGAGAGTCTCACATTGCCCCAGAATGGCAGCCCCACGTAGCCTTCGATGGTTGGACCCTCCAAAGCACTTGCAGAACTGCCCTTTGCTGAAGGCACACCTAGGAGAAGGCAGCAACAGAAAAGCCATGGCCCGACCTCTGCCCAGGATGAATCCCGCACTGCCATACAGCAGTGGAAGCAGGTCTGTATGTCTGCCTGCAAGCTACCTTTTCAGATAGGAAAACAGCCTGCACATTCAAGCTCTGCTAGCTGCCCGCCTCAGCTCCAGCTTACTGTTCTCCTGCTCTCTAATGGGCCAGGAAGTAAAATCTCAGTGAGGAAAACATCACACTGTACCTGCACTGAGAAGGGAGATACTCCTCTGATCTGGCTCCCCTCAAAACCAGGGAGGCAGCAAGAAGGTGAAGGTCTGTGAGCTCTATGGCTTTGCTGGCCAGTGTCAGGAATGTTGTTATTCCTCTTTTGTGACGTAGAAACTTCTTCATCAATAAAATGAGATGTTCTCACTTTTCTACCTTGCCAGACTGTCACTGCAAATAGGTTAGTCTGAAATGCATTTCTGAAAAAGTAGATCCCGTATACAGGGGAAGAAAATCTGACATTCTAGAACAATGGAGGTCCTATGTACTTCACCTGTTTATCATCTTCAACAGATTGTTTTTCATGTGGGGAAAACAAATGTGCTACCATACTCACCTCTTGAGGAGGATAACCTCATCCTACATCACAACTGTTTGCCCAGTTCTGGCAAAGAACACAATTCAGGCCCATGCTCCATCTGTTTGTCTGCCGTAATCAAATAATGAGGATATTTTGGCTATTAGGGAAAGAGGAAAAATAAGCTCTCTACTGCATTTGGAAGTAGACTGGAATGAAGTGGCAAAACGGAGGTGAAACTCCAGAGGCTGGGTTGGGTTTTGCATCTCTCTGACGCTGTAATTCTCTGAACTAATGTTCCTGAAAGTTATCCTTTTTAAAGCACTGAGGGAGGAGAGGGGAATTCTGCTCACAGTCTAAGGCTCATGAGACCAAGACATGTGAGTTTAGGTATCTGTATGTGATACCGAATGTAAGTGACTACTGCAGGGTGAACCAAAACTCTCTCTAGGCGCCATTGACTTCATTGACTAGTTCTTCACTGACTAGCTTGATAGCAGAGCACTTCATCTAGGCATATTAATGTAGGTTTCTCATTATTGAGTAAACTGCGTATGACTAGAAGTGTCATACACTGACACTGTGTGAGGGCTGTGTCCTGCTTTGAATTTTGGTAATCAGATGAGGAGTTACCTGTGACTAGGACTGACAAGCCCCAATACTGTGAAAACAAATCAGGCCTTTGGAAGTTCCATGATAAAATCCATAGATAAAATTATTTTTACTTTGATTGTTAGGGGCTGAGATTTCCAGGTTTAATCGGTGTGGAGTTCTGGCTCTGTCTATCCTGTAAGATAGTGTGCATCAGACCTCTAGCGCAGCAAATTCTGCACCAGGCCTGCTGTGCCTTCCCGTGTCTGAGTGTAGCTCAGCTCTAGCTTTGTGAATGCGTGCTGTACTTAAGAAAAGCCAGTCCCAGAACTAAGTAAGATCATAGTTGAGCTTTCCAATGCCCAATCTGTCTAGAGCTCATGGATCAGAAGCTGGGGGTTAAGTTCGAGAGCTTACTTTGGCTTTTCCCTTCCAG